TCCTGCGTTACTACCACTATCGGCAGCTTCATCACAAACGCTCTTCTGAATGGAGAAGCGTTTCATCACATGCATTCACACGCTGAGATCCAGACCAGAGAAATCATATTTTGCATTAAAAATGAAGCTTATTTTTGGCTACATGGCAGTTTCTTGATAAGTTCAGACATTTGTTTGTGAGACTTGCTTCATTTGGCGTTATGATTTAGATTGATGCATCACTGTGTAAATCTCTTTTGCACTAATGTAACATGCGTGTTCATGAGTTCATGTTCATTCTCTGGTGATCTGAAGGTAAGATGGTCATTCTCTCTGACTGTGCGACGTTTGTGTGTTTCAGGGAAATCCTCCTTGACAATACAGTTTGTGGAAGGCCAGTTTGTCGACTCCTACGACCCCACGATTGAAAACAGTAAGTGAATCAGATCACGTCCTACTGTAAAATGAATCATAATCATAATAATGTAGGCTTGATAATTGAAATTTGCTCTGTGAAGTGATAAAATTACCTTAGATAATATGCATTTCTACTGGCCTTGTGACTACTACACTCCAGTTTGTATGCAAATGACTCTTATGAATCAGTTCTGTGATTGTGACTCACTGAATCATTCGGTTACTCAGCATCTGACTCACTGAACTGCGAGTCATTTGGTCAAATCTGATTCAATATGTTTAACACTTCAGATTTAAATAATTACTGACTAGTTGTTCATTTATAACTTGACATGTAGCTTAAGTTGAATGTCCATAGCGGAGTTTTGTTGTAGTAAATGTTGTGATTTAATATAGTTGAGATCAATTATGTGATGATGCTTCCTCACAAGTACTACATGAATAATGCAGTTGTTAAGAAAAATCAGAATTGTCGAACTTAAAAATGAAGCATAAAATCACTATTAGCAGAAAATTAACTTTTAGGTTTATTAATAGGAGTAAGTGGTAGTATTTTTGAATTATTATTTATTATTAGTAGTAGTAGTAGTATTTTTTTAAAATGCTTTTAGGATGTAACTGCTGTTATCTTTTATTTATTTAGCTTTCATCATTAGGGACATTTGTCTTTTATTTATTTATCTCTGTAAATTTAAATCCACTGTACTGTCATTAGCTTATGATGGGATATTCTTAAAGGGGCGTGTGTGTGTGTGTGTGTGTGTGTGTGTGTGTGTGTGTGTGTGTGTGTGTGTGTGTGTGTGTGTGTGAATGTCCTGCGTTACTACCACTATCGGCAGCTTCATCACAAACGCTCTTCTGAATGGAGAAGCGTTTCATCACATGCATTCACACGCTGAGATCCAGACCAGAGAAATCATATTTTGCATTAAAAATGAAGCTTATTTTTGGCTACATGGCAGTTTCTTGATAAGTTCAGACATTTGTTTGTGAGACTTGCTTCATTTGGCGTTATGATTTAGATTGATGCATCACTGTGTAAATCTCTTTTGCACTAATGTAACATGCGTGTTCATGAGTTCATGTTCATTCTCTGGTGATCTGAAGGTAAGATGGTCATTCTCTCTGACTGTGCGACGTTTGTGTGTTTCAGGGAAATCCTCCTTGACAATACAGTTTGTGGAAGGCCAGTTTGTCGACTCCTACGACCCCACGATTGAAAACAGTAAGTGAATCAGATCACATCCTACTGCAAAATGAATCATAATCATAATAATGTAGGCTTGATAATTGAAATTTGCTCTGTGAAGTGATAAAATTACCTTAGATAATATGCATTTCTACTGGCCTTGTGACTACTACACTCCAGTTTGTATGCAAATGACTCTTATGAATCAGTTCTGTGATTGTGACTCACTGAATCATTCGGTTACTCAGCATCTGACTCACTGAACTGCGAGTCATTTGGTCAAATCTGATTCAATATGTTTAACACTTCAGATTTAAATAATTACTGACTAGTTGTTCATTTATAACTTGACATGTAGTTTAAGTTGAATATCCACTTGTTATAGAAAATGTTGGGATTTAATCTAGTTAAGGCTGATTATGTGATGTTTCCTCACAAGTACTACAAGATTCATTAATGCAGTTGTTAAGAAAAAAAGTGGAATCAAACTTGTTAAACTTAAACATTAAGCTTAAAATCATGATTAGCAGTAAATTAACTTGTGGTTTTATTATTAGTAGTATTTTTTATTTATTATTATTATTTGTGTTTATTTTTTAATGCTTTTAGGATGTAACTGAAGTGATCTCCTATTTATTTATTTATTTTTTCCCTTTCATTATTAAGGACGATTATCTTTTTTGTTATTTCTGTTAATTTAAATCCACTGTACTGTCCTGTTTTTGTTATAAACAAATAAGGCAAACACTAAAAAAAACAAAGGTATGTACTATTATATATTATATTACATTATAGTATATATAAATATGTAAAGGTTGGACAATTTAACTGAATTAATCACAAAACCATATGATGAAAAAATGAGTGTTTGTTGATTTGGATGATCTGCTTCAAGCTTCAGATGATCTGATTCTGCGCTCGAGGTCACTGCGACTTTGAGCAGCTGTTTAAATCGACCAGGCGTTGTTTATAATGGGACATTCTTAAAGGGGCGGGTCGTAACACAGCTATCAGGCAGTGGAACAGGCCGAGTGGGAGGAGTCTACTTGAGTGGGTGTGGCTTCCACTGCAATGACTCCACCTCCACGGTTCTGTGCCTGAAACTCATCAACTCTCCTGATTGTTTTAATTGCAAAAACAGTTTTTTTTTTTTTTAAGTGTTTGCAATAACTAGAAAAGAAAAAATCAGTGTTTGTGTGACAGCGGAAAAATTTAAAGTTGTTAAATTTGTCACTGAAAATGTTTTTTTGTTGGATGTTCAGAGACACTCACTATGAAACGTTTTCATGATTTAATAACATCCAAAATTGAGACATTATTTCACTATTTGCATCAGCCGATAATCATGAACTCTTGGACTCAATCCCAAATCAGCATATTAGAATGATTTCTGAAGATCATGTGACACTGAAGACTGGAGTAATGATGCTGAAAATACAGCTGCACATCACAGAAATACATTACAGTTTAACAGATATTCACGTAGAAAACAGCTGTTTTACATTATAATAATATTTCAAAATTTTTCAGATTTTTGATCTGGTGTCTTTTATTTCTTTTTTCAGCATTTACGAAAATGATCACAGTGAATGGTCAGGAGTATCACCTGCAGCTGGTCGACACAGCGGGACAGGTGAGAAACACGACATCACCTTTAAATGTTGTTTTATTTATTTATTTTTATTTTTTAAACTTCACAGCAATATCAAACATTCAGGAGTCCAACACCAGTGACACTGCATGACTCTCAAACACATTTTAATGCAGAAATGAATCCACGAAAGGCCATAAACCTTTCTGCAGTGGTGTTGTTTTTAACTAAAATTAAAAAGCGTAAGCATTAAAATGGTTTTAATTAATTAAAATAAAGCCGAAATAAAATATAAATATTCAATGACAGACTTAAACTTAAAAAAAACTAAAAACTTAACCGAAATAAAACTAAGAATAAATTACTAAAACTGAAATACGAATAAATTTAAAGCAAGAAAAAAATTTTTCAATGACAAAAGCAAATAACAAAATTACTAAAATAAAAATAAAAACTGAAAATGTAAAATCTAATTCATAATACTAATAGGGATGTAATGATTCGCTCAACTCATGATTCGATTCACGATTTTGATTTCTCGATTCAATTCACAATTGTTTTTTAAGACAAATTATAAATTAAATGTGTCCTTTTATTGTTGCATGGACAAAATTCTGCACGTTTCTTTGTGAAATTGAAATATAACACTATAATAATATACTAATATAGCACTTGTATATCATTGCTCTTTTGTTGGTTTTGATTGCTTCTATTGTCCTCATTTGTAAGTCGCTTTGGATAAAAGTGTCTGCTAAATGACAAAATTTTAATATAATGTAAATGTAAATAACAAAACTAAATTGAAATTTTAAAACAAGCCCCAAATCAAATAAATAAGTAACACAAATAAAATAAAATCGTGTTTCCTTGGTTACCGCTGTAAACAAAGCAGCGCTGCGCTTATGAACAGCAATGATACATACAGTGTTTCCATGGTTACCGCTGTAAACAAAGCCGCACTGCACTTATGAACTGCAATGATACAGTGTTTCCTTGGTTACCGCTGTAAACAAAGCAGCGCTGCACTTATGAACTGCAATGATACAGTGTTTCCTTAGTTACCGCTGTAATCCAAGCAGCGCTGCGCTTATGAACAGCAATGATACATACAGTGTTTCCTTGGTTACCACTGTAAACAAAGCAGCGCTGCACTTATGAACTGCAATGATACAGTGTTTCCTTAGTTACCGCTGTAATCCAAGCAGCGCTGCGCTTATGAACAGCAATGATACATACAGTGTTTCCTTGGTTACCACTGTAAACAAAGCAGCGCTGCACTTATGAACTGCAATGATACAGTGTTTCCTTAGTTACCGCTGTAATCCAAGCAGCGCTGCGCTTATGAACAGCAATGATACATACAGTGTTTCCTTGGTTACCACTGTAAACAAAGCAGCGCTGCACTTATGAACTGCAATGATACAGTGTTTCCTTAGTTACCGCTGTAATCCAAGCAGCGCTGCGCTTATGAACAGCAATGATACATACAGTGTTTCCTTGGTTACCACTGTAAACAAAGCAGCGCTGCACTTATGAACTGCAATGATACAGTGTTTCCTTAGTTACCGCTGTAATCCAAGCAGCGCTGCGCTTATGAACAGCAATGATACATACAGTGTTTCCTTGGTTACCACTGTAAACAAAGCAGCGCTGCACTTATGAACTGCAATGATACAGTGTTTCCTTAGTTACCGCTGTAATCCAAGCAGCGCTGCGCTTATGAACAGCAATGATACATACAGTGTTTCCTTGGTTACCACTGTAAACAAAGCAGCGCTGCACTTATGAACTGCAATGATACAGTGTTTCCTTAGTTACCGCTGTAATCCAAGCAGCGCTGCGCTTATGAACAGCAATGATACATACAGTGTTTCCTTGGTTACCACTGTAAACAAAGCAGCGCTGCACTTATGAACTGCAATGATACAGTGTTTCCTTAGTTACCGCTGTAATCCAAGCAGCGCTGCGCTTATGAACAGCAATGATACATACAGTGTTTCCTTGGTTACCACTGTAAACAAAGCAGCGCTGCACTTATGAACTGCAATGATACAGTGTTTCCTTAGTTACCGCTGTAATCCAAGCAGCGCTGCGCTTATGAACAGCAATGATACATACAGTGTTTCCTTGGTTACCACTGTAAACAAAGCAGCGCTGCACTTATGAACTGCAATGATACAGTGTTTCCTTAGTTACCGCTGTAATCCAAGCAGCGCTGCGCTTATGAACAGCAATGATACATACAGTGTTTCCTTGGTTACCACTGTAAACAAAGCAGCGCTGCACTTATGAACTGCAATGATACAGTGTTTCCTTAGTTACCGCTGTAATCCAAGCAGCGCTGCGCTTATGAACAGCAATGATACATACAGTGTTTCCTTGGTTACCACTGTAAACAAAGCAGCGCTGCACTTATGAACTGCAATGATACAGTGTTTCCTTAGTTACCGCTGTAATCCAAGCAGCGCTGCGCTTATGAACAGCAATGATACATACAGTGTTTCCTTGGTTACCACTGTAAACAAAGCAGCGCTGCACTTATGAACTGCAATGATACAGTGTTTCCTTAGTTACCGCTGTAATCCAAGCAGCGCTGCGCTTATGAACAGCAATGATACATACAGTGTTTCCTTGGTTACCACTGTAAACAAAGCAGCGCTGCACTTATGAACTGCAATGATACAGTGTTTCCTTAGTTACCGCTGTAATCCAAGCAGCGCTGCGCTTATGAACAGCAATGATACATACAGTGTTTCCTTGGTTACCACTGTAAACAAAGCAGCGCTGCACTTATGAACTGCAATGATACAGTGTTTCCTTAGTTACCGCTGTAATCCAAGCAGCGCTGCGCTTATGAACAGCAATGATACATACAGTGTTTCCTTGGTTACCACTGTAAACAAAGCAGCGCTGCACTTATGAACTGCAATGATACAGTGTTTCCTTAGTTACCGCTGTAATCCAAGCAGCGCTGCGCTTATGAACAGCAATGATACATACAGTGTTTCCTTGGTTACCACTGTAAACAAAGCAGCGCTGCACTTATGAACTGCAATGATACAGTGTTTCCTTAGTTACCGCTGTAATCCAAGCAGCGCTGCGCTTATGAACAGCAATGATACATACAGTGTTTCCTTGGTTACCACTGTAAACAAAGCAGCGCTGCACTTATGAACTGCAATGATACAGTGTTTCCTTAGTTACCGCTGTAATCCAAGCAGCGCTGCGCTTATGAACAGCAATGATACATACAGTGTTTCCTTGGTTACCACTGTAAACAAAGCAGCGCTGCACTTATGAACTGCAATGATACAGTGTTTCCTTAGTTACCGCTGTAATCCAAGCAGCGCTGCGCTTATGAACAGCAATGATACATACAGTGTTTCCTTGGTTACCACTGTAAACAAAGCAGCGCTGCACTTATGAACTGCAATGATACAGTGTTTCCTTAGTTACCGCTGTAATCCAAGCAGCGCTGCGCTTATGAACAGCAATGATACATACAGTGTTTCCTTGGTTACCACTGTAAACAAAGCAGCGCTGCACTTATGAACTGCAATGATACAGTGTTTCCTTAGTTACCGCTGTAATCCAAGCAGCGCTGCGCTTATGAACAGCAATGATACATACAGTGTTTCCTTGGTTACCACTGTAAACAAAGCAGCGCTGCACTTATGAACTGCAATGATACAGTGTTTCCTTAGTTACCGCTGTAATCCAAGCAGCGCTGCGCTTATGAACTTTAATATGCATTATACAGAGGCAAATAAAAAGAAAAAATACCATCTAAACTTTTCTAAAGACAGTAAGCTCCCCTCAGACATGCATTCATATAAACTCCTACACCTAAATGAATCGCGATTTGTTTAGCATCTCAACCGATTTGAATCGTCACATATTTGAATCGATTTTCAACCGGCTCGCGGTTAATTGTTACATCCCTAAATACTAATAAATATAATAGTTTCTAAATAATACTAAAATAAAACCGCACAGTTGGCAAAACGTTCTTATAAAAGCATCATGTCATGAATTCTTAGAATGAAGTTTTGATTTCGTCTCTGAACTGAAGTGTGTTTTGAATTCCGCTCTTTCAGGACGAATACTCTATTTTCCCGCAGACGTACTCCATAGATATCAACGGCTACATTCTGGTGTATTCAGTCACCTCAAATAAAAGGTGAGAGCACAGATTAATGCTCCTGATGACTGTCAGAATATGGTTTATGAATAAAACATTGCATCTGATTGAATTTGAGAGATGACGTCTCATTTCTAGAAGATCTCGCCTCCCTCACAGAGTTATTAAATTAGATCATATTTGATGGACAGTAAGCGCTGATCTCAGACCTGTGGATCCATGTTTGTTCTTCATCATCTTCATCATCTCCGTCTCCGGATGTCTGGATGTTTGATGTTAATTAAATGATGACATTGTCAGGCTCTGCTTTGTGTTTCAGCCTTTAACCAGTTATAAAATCTCACAACCATCTGAAGCAGAGCTGCACGGAAAATCGAAATAAACTGGCTTGGTGTGATTAATTATTGGCAAAGGCTGCAATTTAATTAAATGCGTAAAAACATTGCATGTTTCAGAGTGAGGAGAAGTGCTTATCAACAAAAGGGAAGCATTAAATATAAAGAAATAAAAGTTTCATGTTTTGTTTTTTTTACCACGGTAATGGTCATTTTTACAGTTGTAGAATAATAATATTATTATTATATTTTTTTGGCTTAAATACTCAGTTTTTACAGTAAACATTGCAATAGTAATATTTATTACTTTGATTATAATTTGAATTTTTTTTGTTTATTTTATATATTTTTATTCTTGTTTTATAAATAACCTTAGATAAAATTATCTGCTAATTTTCAGAATTCCCGTTTGTGATCTGTCTCTCCCTCTTCCTTGCAGTTTTGAAGTAGTAAAAGTTATCCATGAAAAGCTGTTGGATATGGTGGGAAAAGTACAGTAAGTATCTTTATTTTATTTTATTTTTATGTTTAAATGTATTATTTATTTATTTTTTGTTTATCATTTGCAAGGTTCAGTTTTTTTTTCCAAAACAATTTTTTTTCTTTCTGTTTACGTTTGCTAAGTGTTTTTTTTTTTTTTACTAAAATATATATTTATATATATATATATTTTTTTTTTCTTTTATAATTTTTTATTTAGCATTTACAAAGTTCAGTAGTTTTCAAAGAAAAATATGTATATTTTAAATTATTTTAATTATATTTGCAAAGTTCAGGGTTTTTTTCCCCAAACGAAAATGTTATATATTTATTTATTTATTTATTTATTTTATTAGCACTTGCGAGGTTTCTTTTTTTCCCCCAAGCAAAAATATTGAATTTTTCATTAGTTTTTAATGTTTTTTTGTTTTGTTTTTTTAGCATTTGCAAAATGTCATTTTTTTTTCTTTAAAAAAAAAACAAAACAAAAAAAAAACTTCCACAATGTAATGATTTCTGAGGAAAACGTGATGTTTAATAAGAAGAAATGCGTAATCCTGATGAATCGTTCATAATAAGACCAGAAGCATGTATTAAGAATATGAATGGGGTCAGTTATTAAAATCTCAGTTAATGTCTCTGTGTTATAAATGTCTTTTTTCCTAGAGTACCCATAATGCTGGTGGGCAATAAGAAGGACCTTCACATGGAACGGTACGTTCTGCTCTGATGATGAATTCATGGAGGTTCTTCAACACGTTCACATGATCCTGCAGATCAGACTGTGGGAACCAGAGAGAGAGAGAGAGAGAGAGAGAGAGAGAGTGTGTGTGTGTATGTGAGTGAGTGAGTGTGTGTGTGTGTGTTAGACTTGTGCCGGTATTCGGTACGTTTATGGCGCTATTTTAAAAAGTGTCCTATATGTTCTGTCAAAGACCGAACAAGCGGCACTAATGATTGGGGGTGGAGATGGGGGAGCGCGGGAAAAAAACCGTGTGTGTTGACGCGCAGCCTAGAGTCCTGAGCGGGACAGTTTTCTGAAGCCCGCTCCCCCTGAATTTCTGAGCATTACCGCCCGCTCCCGCAATGTGTGTCACGCTCCCGCAAACATTCTTATCGTCTTATTGTATATATTTCATAAACGAAATAGTTCCAAATATAGTAACAGCTGAGCCGCTGCGCATCTCTAAAAGCAAACACAGCCGAGTTTCATTCATGAATG